AATAATAAATATAAAACACGAGCAAAAAACACGGGGCGGCGCAAGGTGGGTAGATGTATTTTCTTTTTTACATCGATGAGTAATAGGGGGCATGGTGAAAACTCTGTTATGTGGATATATTTTTCTTTTTTAATTGAAGCGAAGAGGGGGTGACGATGCGAGAGGACTCTACAGACACACACTCACACACACACACACACACACACACACACACACACACACACGCACGCACACACACACGCACACACACACGCGCGCGCGCACACACACACACACACACACTTGCACACATCATAACGACATGCCACAGATTATGCTTGAGCGTGGGCTGAACCCAAACCTCTCTGCCAGTGGCATCTCCCTCCTGCACGTTGCTGCCATGAACGGCAAGCATCTCATGGCCAAGATGCTCCTTCGGGTACGTGGGCGCTGACCGGTGCAAATCCTTGCGTCATCTTTCCAACCAGCAAACCGTGGTCCATCTTCTTGCTTGCGCTTGCACCCTGAATTCTTATTTCGCACCTCAACTCACAATCACACACACAATCACACACACACACATCAAACACCAGGCTGGTGCTGATGCGACGGCCAAGGACCTGCGTGGGATGACGCCTGCGGACTCTGCCAAGGACGACGTCACGCGCACCGTCCTCAACACCCCACTCGCGTCGCTCTCCCCTGAAACGGAGTTTGATGTTGGCGAGCAGGTGTTCTGCTCCGAGGACAACGGCACGCGCCGCCCAGCCGAGATTGTCAGCGCTCTTCCAAACAAGCGGTATGCATGTGTGTGTGTGTGTGTGTGTGTGTGTGTGTGTGTGTGTGTGTGTGTGTGTGTGTGTGTGTGTGTATGTATGTGTGTGCATTTTGCTGCCCCAAACTCTTCCAACAACACGCGTCTCATCCGCTTCATCCTCCCTTCTTCCCCCTCAATCCCTCGCCACCAACTACCACAAACCCTTGTTCGCCTCCATCGCCCCTCTAACACCTCTGTTGCGTGCTCCCTTCTCAATACCTTCTCTCCCCTCGCCACGGACCCGCAGGTTCAGCGTGCAACTGCTTGGCTTCAACACGAAGCTCGAGGTGGATGCTTCGGCCCTGACCAAAGTCAACGTGGAGGAGGTGGAGCGCCAGCTCAAGTTCATGCAGCAGGCAAAGGACGCCCGCAAGCAGCAGCAGCAGCAGCAGCGCGCGCGTGCCCGTGCTCGCTCATCCATTGCTCCCATCCCCTCGGAGCCCACCACGCCCCTCACCACGGCCACCTCCTCCGCCTTTGCGCTCCCCACTGTTGACTCGAGTTCGCTGCGGGGAAGCCGCCGCGGAAGCGTTGCTGCTCGCGACACCACAAGTTCCAAGCGCAGGGCTGGCTCGCAGATGGCGACACCGCCCTCCTCTGCCCGCGCCCCAAAGACACCCAAGATGGCTGCCACCACAGACGCCACACAGGTGCGTTATGTTTGTGCGTGTGTGAGTGTGAGTATTAGTATGGGTGTATGAGTATGTGTGTATGTGTGAATGTGAGTAAGAGTAGGTGTGTATGAGTAGGTGTGTGTGTGTGTGTGTGTGTGAACGTGAGTATGAGTATGGGTAAGTGTGTGCATAGTGTGTGTCAATGTAATAGCGCTGTGTTTACTTGAGCCGTTGCTCTCTGGTTCTTCCTTCCCCATTCCAATTCCCCGTGTCCATTTTCCCGCCCTCACCCCCTCCCCCCACACCTTTACACACCACCACCCCCACCACCACCACCACCACCACCACCATCGCCACTGCAGGCCGCCATGATGCAGCAGCTCAACCAGGCCCTGAATGCGCTCGAATCCCTCAAGGACACCGTCGCCTCCCTCACCACCACCGCCACCGCTGCTGCCACCCCTGTGGCCGTGCCAACCTTCACGGGCGGTGCCGCCGTTGGTGCCGGTGTTGACGCGACGACGGCGCAGCTGCTGGAGGAGAACAGGACGCTGCAGGAGATGGTGGACATGCTGCGCGCACAGCAGCAGGAGTCCAAGGCCGCATTTGCAACCTCGCCCGCCATGACGCAATCCATGGCCAACAAGGAGGACGCCGACCGCATCAAGGTGATTGCCGAGCTGCGGACCAAGTGCATCCAGCTGGAGGCCGAGCGGGACCGGTACAAGCGGCTGATGGAGATCAGCGCAGCCAAGTACGCGCGGCTGTCGGCTGCACACGAGGCCGCCAAGGCCGAGGCCGAGGCCGAGGCCCGGCAGCAGGAAGAGGCACTGAGGAAGGAGGAGGAGGAGAAGAAGGGCAAGGCCGCGGGTGGCGACGATGATGCACAGGACATGCAGACGGGTGAGGATGGCGACGATGAGGACAAGAAGGAGGAAGACAAGGAGGAGGACAAGGGCCACGAGGAGGAAGAGAGCAAGGACACGGACACGGCAGCAGCGACAACCCCGCCTGCGGAGGGCGAATCCACCACGACGACCACAACCACTGCAGCAGCTGGCGATGATGATGCTGAGAAGGAGACAGAAGCCGAGGAGGCAAAGGAGGAGGAGGAAGACGAGGCGTCCAAGCAACACGACGAGAGCACGGAGGATGAGAAGCAACACCAGGATGGTGACAGCAAGGAGGAGGACCAGCAGAAGGAGGAGGGTGATAGCAAGGAAGAGCCATCAGCCACTGCCACAACTGCCATGGACACTGGCGATGATGAGCAGGACGCCGCGGCCACAACAGCGCCATCCGCCACCACGCCCGCCACATCAGAGGCAGCAGTGGAGGAAGCAGCCACTGCCACGCCAGCCGTGTCTGAAACGACACCAACGGCAGCACCAACAGCACCAGCAGAAGCAGGCACAGAGGAGAAGACAGAGGGCCAGGCTGAGAAGACACAGGCAACAGCACCAACTGTCGACGGTGATTGCAGCAACCAACCTGCAACCACCACCACAACAACAGCGGGCGAGGTGGCCTAAACTGTGGTGCAACGAACATGTGCACACACGCGCATGTGTTTGTGTATGTGTGTATGCGTGCACATGTATACCTGCGCGCGCGTGTATGTGTGCTTGTGCTGTCAGTGGCGATGGTGCACGTGGCGCTGTGAACTGTGAACGCCGTCTGTGAACCTTCCTCTTTCCATGCCCTTGTCCATGATCTTGCGTTGTCTTTGAAGGTGCGCACAACTGTGTTTTGTAGTGCTTGTTTGGTGGTTTGGTTGGCGTTTCAACGGTGGCACGCTGTTGTATTGTGTTGTGCTGCCCTGAGCTGCTGTGTTTGGGAGCGAGAGAGAGAGAGGGGGGGGGGTGCGCGTGATAGCTGAAGCCGCTTTGCAGAAATGGTTCATTGGTTTTGTTTGTTTTTTTCATTTAGAACCAACAAGAAACAAGGCACGAAGCAAGCAACCTTGGCGCAAGATCATGCCAACGAGGGGACGTGAAGAAAAGAAGACAATTATCAGCACAGCAAACGAGCACAAGAGCGAGCCTACGCGAGGAGAGAGAAAGAGAGAGAGAGAGAGAGAGGAAAGGAATGGGATATGGAAGTGGCAGATGGGGGAGCGAGATTGTCGCCGACAGGGAGGGAGGCGACACGCACTTGTTTCCGGCGCATGAACACACAAATTCACATGCGTGCACATGCACGTGTGTGCACATGCAATGCATGCAGCACACACACACACACACACACACACACACACACACACACACACACACACACACACACACACACACACACACACAGACGTGCACGCATTGCCAATCAGGCCCAACCATCGCTGCTGGGCTGAGCGACCTTTGTGGTGCAAAGTAACCGGGTCTACATGGACGTGGAGATGTAGGACGTGGTCTCGCCACTGGCCACGAGCGCCACTGGGGGTAGGTCTGCAGACAGGCGATCAATCACGTGCATGTATGCGGATGCGGAGGCGTCGGTCAGGTGGCGCGGGGGCTCTGGCAGTGGCACGAACAGCTGGGAGGTGGCATAGGTGGCGTGGGATGGCGTGGGGGAGGGGTACAGGTGTGAGGGGTGATGAGATGAAGGAGTAGCCTGTGGACTGGATGTTAGACGTGCGCAGGTACACAGGACCAGACGTACACACACACACACACACACACACACACACACACACACACACACACACACACACACACACACACACACACACACACACGCACGCACACACTCTCTTACGTACTTACACATAACCCCCCTCACTCACACAGGCACGCACACACACATACATACATACATACATACATACATACATACATACATACATACATACATACATACATACATACATACATACATACATACATACATACACACACACATACATACATACATACATACACATACATACATACATACACACACAGGCACGCACACATATTTACCTGGCACGTGTTATCTGCGTGGTGTTTCATGAGGGTGTTGAGGATGGTGGCCTGTAGCGTTGGCGGCAGCTGCTCCACATCAGACAAGTCGCCGCTGTTGCTGTCGTGGATGTATGTGCAGTACTCGGGTACAAGCTGCTTCAAGTCATGCAGCGTCACAATCTACCCAGCAGGCAGGTGGAAGGTGGGGTTGGCGCGCGTGAGTGGAACTGCGGGTTAGGAGTGACGAAAGAGTGAAGCAGGGATGGCAAGCATGATGGCAAGGCCGTGCACCATGAACGGTGAACGGTAAACAACGTGCAGGTGGTGTTGGGGCAGCGCACATGAAGCCACAGATAGACATGAGACAAAGAGGCATGTGCAGGCAATGCCAGAATGCGGCACACCTTTATGTCCTGGTCCTCGATGTCAACACGCCCTTCCTTGCAGAACTCGCGCAGCTGTTGCTCAGCCAGCTTGAATGTGTGCGCACGCGTGCGTATGCGGTGTGTGTGTGTGTGTGTGTGTGTGTGTGTGTGTGTGTGTGTGTGTGTGTGTGTGTGTGTGTGTGTGTGTGTGTGTGTGTGTGTGTGTGTGTGTGTGTGTGGTGGGGTGGTGGTGATGACGGTGGCGGCGGCAGTGAGTGCAAGCGTAAAGGCGACATTGGGATAGGGTGGCATGCGTTTCGAGCAGCAACAGCCAGCACCCCATGATCATCATCATAATCATCGTCACCACATCTCACCAGGGCCTCGGCGTTTGCCTCTGTAGCGGATGAACCAGCGATGTTTGCGAGGTGGAAGATGCGCACGCGGTGGAGGCTGCGCTGTTTCCTCAGACCACCTGCGCCAATTCGCGACACCTGCAGGATCTGTGTTTTGGGGGGGGGGGAGCGAGATGAGGGAGGGGTTGAGTGGATGAGGGAAGGAGGAAGCGAAGGTGTTGGGGGATGCTTGGTGGTATGTGCGGTGATTGGAGTCATTAATGATGTCCACGCGTCCGAGTGATATGCAAGCCACACAGAGCAGCACACAGAGCAGCACGAGTACGCACGCAAGAGCAGGTGCTTTCACTGCACGACGACGACCAACAGGATGATGATGTCGACTGCGACCACGAGGGCAGTGTGGCAGCTCACCTGGCCGAGCTGAACGAGAAGGGCGACAAGACCCGTGAAGCAGATGGGTCCCGGTGTCTCCTCCATGGAGGGGGTGCTCGCATCGTAATCGTCGGCAGTCGAGTTGGTCGAGGACTCTGACATGGGCACGCTCAACGCGGACGGCGCACGCTGCCTGATGGTGGTGATGATGATGCGATAGAGAGCGTTGGAGGCGGTGAGGAAATGTATCAAGCAAGGGATACGTGGTAGGGGCGTGAGGATAATGAGTGCCAATGCAGTGTCGTGTGTGATGGCGGTTTGTCACACCATATCATGTGCATCCAAACACCATGAGTAGCCTCAGGTTGCATGACGACGACGCTACCTGTTGTTGGCGGTCCACGATCCAAAGATCCACACGTCCACATTCGGCAGGGCGCTGTGGTGATGGCCGTGATGAGAGGCAAAGAGGAAAAGGGGAGGAGGAGGAGGAGGAGGAGGAGGAGGAGGAGGAGGAGGAGGAGGAGGAGGAGGTGGAGGAGGAGGAGGAGGAGGTGGTGGTGGTGGTAGTGGTGGAGTGGATAATGAATGAGCCACAGCATGACGTGTAATGCCAACACACACACAGACTCAGACACACATCACACATCACCATCATCACTGCGTAACACAACAAAGGGCATCGCACCAACACCCCCCCCCCCACCTCGTGTGCGTGTAGATGCGGCGGCGGCGACCGAGAACGGCCTCGCCAAAGTTGCGCGCAATCACGCAGTTCTTGTTGTAGGCGAGAATGTCCGACACGAGGCGGCAGAACGGGAGCGCAGAGTCCAGTGGGAGGTTGCACCTGGGCATGATCAAGGCGGTTGGTTTGGTGAGCAGGTGTGGCAGTGAGCAACATAACAACAACAGACATTGCCAGTGATTGTACAAAGGGAAGAGACCAAAGAGCAAAGTTACCGAGCAAGCAACCAAACTAAACCAAGCACGAAAGCAACCAAGCAAAATAAACCAAGCACGAAAGCAAGCAAACTAAAGCAAGCACGAAAGCAAGCGAAACCGACCCCATCACCACTGACTTCATTGCGGGGACGGTGTTGACGTTTTCCTTGTCCTTGTTGAGGTGCGTGATCAATTGCTCGTACATGTGCACATCGAATACGTCCTCATCGTCATCACGCTTTGCTTCGAAGAACGGAACAACCACTGCAACCGGAGATCAAAGGGAAGCAGGAGGCGTATGTGCGTGTGTGCGTGCGTGTAATTGCGTCAAAGCAGTGAGATATAAACTGTTCACGTGCAAAGATTTTGCGTAGCAGCACGAATGCAACCACCCCACCACCTCCAACCCCCCCCCCCTCTCCCACCTCCTCCTGGCCTGAGCGTGTGTGCGGGCACCTGTGTTGATGACGAGACCGCCGAGACCGCTGGTGTCCATGAGGATTCGGTATGCGAGGTTGATGTCCTCGCTCGCCGTCGTGTGCACAAACGACTTGAGGCGGTGCCGCTTGACAAACCCGTTCCACGCGTCGCGCAGCCGGAGCGACGTCGCGTGTATGTCTGCACGGCGGCCAGGCAGCACCTGTGGTGGGTGGGTGGGTGGCACAGGTGAGGGGACAACGCTTCCGTATGGTAACATAACAATGGCCGCACAAGCGAAGAATAACAGGGCTATTCTCTCCTCTCCCACCCGCAAACGCACATGCACTTCACTCTCTCACTCTCATTCCAGACCACTGCCTCCGCCATGCCTGCGCACCTGTGCAATGACCATGAGACCGCCCTTCTTGAGCGCGTTGCAGAATGCGAGCAGACCCGCGTCGCACCCGCCAGCCAGCACCAGCAGGTTTGGCTTCCAGTACTTGGAGTGCGACTGCATTGTCGACAGCCGCAGCAGGTACTTGCGCACCTATGTTGTTGGAAGAAAGGGAGGGAGGATGGAGGGTGTGAGAATTGTGATGTGGTGAAGGGGAGGAGGAAGATCGCGCAAAGGCTTACAGAGACGCAGATTCAAACACACACGTACACACGTACACACAGACACACACAGAGACACACACACAGACACACACAGACACACACACACACACGTACACACACACAGACACACACAGACACACACACACAGATGTTTGTGCAAGCGCCAGCGAGACCTGGTGGTAGATGAGCTCGTTGGTGATATCGCCCCAGTCTGTGGCCGGGCCATAGAGGGAGAGGTAGACGTACAGCAGCAGCATGCACGCCAGCGTCACCGCAGCGTAGATCCAGTTGAGATAGAACATCACCACAATGTTCAGGATGGCGCTGCGGTGGTGGTGGTGGTGGTGGAGTCGAAGGTGCAGGTGGTGGTGGTTGTTGTTGTGGTTGTGGTTGTGGCGAGTAAAAGTGTAATGTAAGTGAAGAGCGGCAAATGTGTGTCAAGGTGATGTACATACACAGACACGCGCATACACAAAGACACACACAAAGACACACAAAACACCGCCATCGCCGCCACCACCACCACCCTGCTGCCTTCTTACCCGAGGAGGGCTGTTGGCCAGGAGTAGAACTTGAAGCGCGGGCGGAAGTTTGGAGCGCCCATTGCGCTGAGGATGAAACAGGTGAGGTTGACGACAGCATAAGATAAGCAGAAGAACGACGTCTCAATGGGCGCAACGACATCGAGGTCGCCAATCATCACGCACGCCTGGTGAGAAGGGGGGGGGGGGGTTGTGAGGCATGGGTGGAAGGATGCGGATTTTTTTAAATTTTTGTTTGGGGGGGGGATGATGACAGCTTCAAAGACAAGCGTTCAGGCTGATATGACAATCAGACAAACAGACAGAGAGAGACACGCACACACACACACACACACACACACACACACACACACACAACGCGCACCTGTGCGATGACCCAGGTGAACGCGACGGCCACACGTGGTTCATCGCCCTTCTTGGAACCGTATGCAAACGGCTTCAGGATGCCCATGAGGTCATCTCGCGCCATCGCCTGCAGCACACGCGACCCGCCAAACAGCGAGCCAAGTCCCGAGCTCAGCGATGAGATGAGGATGCCAACCACCACAATGTACGGCGACCCAACACACGCGTCCTGGTAGATGTTCTGGTCGTTGACGAGGGTGGAGCGGTTGAAGCTGCCGCCCATAAACGTGATTTGCAGCGTGTAGATGATGTACGCTGTCAGCAGCGCAGACAACGTGCCCACGGGGATGCTATGCGCCGGGTTTTTCAAATCGCCAGACAAATTGGCGCCCTCCATAATGCCTGCAAGCAACCGCGTCAGAGCAGCAGCAGTTGAGCGTTAGCACACGTGTGTGCTGTGCGCGCTTGTGTGTGATATGTGTGTGTGTGTGTGTGTGTGTGTGTGTGTGTGTGTGTGTGTGTGTGTGTGTGTGTGTGTGATGGCAGGGGTCCGCGAGCACAGGATATCCAACAGATGCGCACCTGTGACCATGGGGAACATGATGGCGAAGATGGTGTGGATGTCGCATTTGCCGTGGCACGACTCGCTCACCGTCAGGTCAGGGTACCTGGCGCATTTGCGGGAAACGCGAGTGGCAATTTGAGGTTATCTTTGGGACAAGGGGGTGGCATTGCAGTCGCAAGGGGCGGATGGGGGGGGGCTCGAAACATGCACATACACATACACACACACACACACACACACACACACACACACACGCACACACACGCGCGCGCACACACATACACACACACGCGCGCACACACACATATGCACAGCACGCATACGTACAGGTTATCGTGCGCGTGCTTGGGGAATGAGGTGCTGGTGTTGAAGGCGGTGCCATTTGATGTGAACTGCACAGTAAAGTCGCGTGGAATGAGGAAGCTGATCATGCCAATCGCAATCGACCCAAACTGAACCTGTCATGGTGGTCGTAGCAGTGGTGGTGGCGGTGATAAGAGGCGAAGAAAGCGCATGTGGAGGTGTGCGAATGCGTATTTGAATGCGTGAATGCATGTGCGTTTGCATATCTTGAACCAGCATCAAGCAGGCAAGGGTACGGGGGTTGCGGCTCAACACAAATAAATATCATCATCATCATCATCAGCATCATCAGCATCATCATCATCATCATCATCAGCAGCAGCAGCAGCAGCAGCAGCAGCAGCAGCAGTAGCAGCAGCGATGTGGCGAGGAATGCGTGCTCACCATGAAGAAGAGGACGTTGAACTTGGAGAAGAACTCTGCGCCGAGCATGCTGATGGTGAGGATGAAGAGGAGGCCCAGTGACGCAATGAGGCGCATGATCCACATTGGTTCCGCCGCGTCGGGGAAGAATGTGCTCTGTACCGTCGTGGCAAACCCGAGCGAATAGAAGGCCTGGGGAAAGCGGAGGAGTTGAGCGAAAGAAGGCAACAAGGCAGCAGAGGCGTGGATATTGTGGGCATGGCGGCCGGACTGACGGCAGGGCAGGTACGTAAGGCAGGCAGGCAGATGCACACAAACCCAAACAGAACACACACACACACACAAACACACACACACACACACACACACACACACACACACACACACACGTACAGGCAGACGGAGCATTCACGCACACACACACACACACACGCACACACACACACACACAGACAGGTAGAAAGAGCATTCACGCACACACACACACACACATATATACAGGCAGACACACAAAACAAAGGAGCGCACGTACCACGCCCATGGCATATGCGGCATAGAAGAGGAGGCCGATGGCACCGCCAAACTCCGGGCCGAGACAACGTGAGATCATAAAGTACGAGCCGCCCGTGGAGATCATGCCGTTGGTGACGAGTGCGCTCACGCTGAGCACGGTCAGGACAGCCTGCAGCGTGGCGATGGTGAGCATGGCCAGGGTGACGAGGATGCCTGCCTCGCCCACAATCCAGCCCAAGCGGAGGAAGAGGATGATGCCCATGATGTTGAGGAGGCAGGGCACATAGCAGCCGTTGATGGTGCCGAGCTGGTTCTTGACGTGGCCGACGTGTTGTGCGACCTCCACATCTCCTGCTGTTCCTGCCGCACCTGCCGCTGTTGAGCCTGCGTTCTGGTAACCAGGACTTCTGGTGCCGCCGGTTGGGGTGCTGATCAGCACGCCGCCACTCGACGCCTCGACTGCGGATGGTGTTGGCGTTGGCCAATGTGGCCCTGGCGCTGCTGCGATCCCTGACGATGCACGTTGCCCTGCGCCGCCCAGCAGCGGCTGCGACTCGGACATATTGTGTGTGTGTGTGTTTGTGTGTGTGCTGTCTGTGCTGTATGTGTGTCTGTGCTGTATGTGTGTCTGTGTGTCTGTGTGTATGTGTCTGTGTGTATGTGTGTCTGTGTGTCTGTGTGTGTGTGTGTGTTCTCACGACTCTCCCAGCCACCCTCTTCGCCTGCACAGAGTGAATGCTCTTCAGCAGCAGTCGTGCTTCAACGTTGTGTCGTGCAGTCCCAAGACACAATACACAGGCAGCGACAACGACGATCTTGATGGCAGCGAGGCCGCGCGTTAGTGCTTCCTCCACACACACACACCACACCTTTTGATTCCTCCAATCAATGTGAAGAAGAAGCCAAGTGCGCAAAGTCCGCCTTGCTTGCGGCAATGCAGGCATTTTGCCACAGTTCCTTGCAAACGTTCTTTGGGCATTGTGGGCAAAATGTAATTTGCCTCACAAAAAATTTACTGGCTGTATGGTACGGGCCCATCGGCAAACACTGGCACAATAATTAAAAAATTGCGCGGAAAGTTCTCAATGCTCTGAGCGTGATGAGTCATCAGCTGGGCGGCGCAACGCAAGCAAGGCGAGAAGGCAAGCAAGACTGGTGTTCCACACACAACGACAAGCAGCATTCATCCACACCTGCGATTCCCCACCACCACCACCAACCAACCATCCTTCCATATCCCCACCTCATTCCACTTTATATCTCCTCGCAGACACCGCTCACATCCAACGAACGACCCACACATCTGCAGCATCCATCCATTGATCGATCGATCCGCGTTCCTCCCCTTTCACACACAAAAAGGAAGCAAGAGCAACCAATCATGTCTGGGCTTTACCCCACGCTCGAGGATATGACTGTTGACAAGGAGGTATGTTCATATTGAGTTGTGCCGTGCTGCGTGGTGTCCTTCCTGTTTTTTCCAAATGCAAACGCGAACCCTGAACGCGAACCTTGTTCGCTCACACATGCAGACACACGCACAATGCATGCGCATTGTCACCACCTGCCTGCCTTTTCCCCATTCCCTCACTCGCACGAACGTTGCTGTGTTTGTGTTCTTTTTGTGTGTGTTTTTCCCGTCCTTCCCATTGGCAGGCGCGTGCTGCCATTGCGCTGACCGCCGCGTCACAACAGCAGCAGCAGCCGTACCAGCAGCCGCCCTCGTATGCGTCCTCATCGTCGGCGCCGTCCATGGCGTCGTCGTACTCGTCAGCCATGTCTGGGCCTTACGGCGCCCCGCCTCCGCCACAGGCGACAACCACCACGACCACCGTGGCCACAACCTACCAGAGCCCCTACGCCAGCCTGATGGAGGACCTTGGCGTGGACTACCTCGGCATCGACACATCGCCCCAGGCCATCATGTCGCAGATGCCGGCCGAGGTGCAGCACCAGATGCAGCACGACTACCAGATGCAGGTGGCCACCATGCCGCCTCCGGAGCAGCGCGCCGTCATGCCGCGTCAGGACCTCCCCGGCTCGCACGCCATTGCGGCGCTCACCCCACAGACAGACCGCGGCCTTGTCGCCGGCACCATCCGCCAGGGCGTGCGGGAGATTGTGCTGGCCAAGAGCCAGGAGGGCAAGCTTGGCATTGCGGTGAAGGCCATTGACAAGGGCGTCTTTGTCTCGTTTGTCTGGTCCAACAGCGCCGCCGCCATGGCCGGCCTCCGCTTTGGCGACCAAATCCTCCAGGTGTGTGTGCGTGTTGTGTGTGTGTGTGTGTGTATGTACGTGTGTACGTGTGTACGTGTGTGTGTGTATATGTACGTGTGTACGTGTGTACGTGTGTACGTGTGTGTGCATGGACTGAGTGTGTCATCCAACCCCCCCCCCTTCTTATTGCCAGCATCCCTGCTTCTTTGGGTCCTTCAACCACTCACCTCAGCTACCATCTCCACTCAACACCACCAACACGACCACCACCACCTCAACAGATCAACGGCCAGAACGTGGCTGGCTTCAGCGACTCCAAGGCGCTGCGTGCGCTGAAGAGTGCGCCGGAGGAGCGGGTTGTGCTCGCCATCCGCGACCGCCCATGGTGTCGCTCCCTCACCGTCCGCAAGGACTCGCTCAACCACTGCGGCTTCACCGTGCGTGGCGGGTCTGTCTCCAACATTGTCAAGGACTCGTCTGCGGCGCGCAACGGTCTCCTCATCAACCACCGCCTCATCGAGGTCAACGGCCAGAACGTCGTTGGCATGACAGACAAGGTGCGTGCGTGCGTGTGTGTGTGTGTGTGTGTATCCTGCGTGTGTGTGTGTCTGTGTGTGTGTGTGTGTGTGTGTGTGTCCTCTGTGCGTGTGTGTGTGTGTGTCTTATGTCTGTGTCTGTGTGTCCTCTGTGCGTGCGCGCGTGTGTGTGCGTGTCTGTGCCTCTGTCTATGTCTATGCCTATGTCCGTAACTTCTCCAATCTTTCTACACATCTGCCTGTCTCTCTGTGCTCATCTGTTTGTGTGCCTGCTCCACTTCAACTGACGTTCCCTCACCATCCATCACCACGACCCTCCCCTCTTTCTCACACGACCAATCTCATCTGTTGCTGCTGCACCCATCAGGGCATTGTGTCTGTGATCAAGGAGAGCCCGCCGTCGGTGACGCTGACCATCATGCCGACCTTCATCTACAACCACCTCATCAAGAAGATTGGCTCGTCCCTCATCAAGAAGTACATGGACCACACCATCCCGGAGATCTGAGTGCACCCGCCTCACCTCATCGACCATCCACCTCCACACACACGACACCACTCAACAATGACAAAATACGCCCCCCCCCCACGCACACTCTCGACTGCTCGCCCGCGCCCTTTCTTCTTGATCATGCATGCCTGTCCACTGCTGTGATTGCTGTTGGTTTACGTTAACACCAACAGCCCACGCGAGCGGCAATTACATATAGCGTTGATCTGTGCCTGCCCACACTCTTGGTCATGGAATTCGTTCATTTTGTGTCTTCTTCTTGTGGTTCTGCCTTGTTCCTGTGTTTGCTTGTTGTTGTTCCATTGCGTGCAGTGCTGTTTCCCCCTTCCATTGTGGTTGTGCTTCATTCTCTTCAATGGATGTTGTGATTTGACGCCAGCCATCACGCAAACCCAACGCACGGCCAACCGTTGTAAACGAAAACCAAAACACCAAGACGCACGTTGAGCACCAGAAACGCAAAGAACGAGCAACATGTGTGTATGGAGAGGGAGAACCAAGGAGTAAACGCAACAGCAGATACGCAAGACGGTGTGGGAAAAAGACAAAAGAGGGAGTTGCAAACGGTATAACGTTCATGTGTGCGATGACAGACGCACGGCAGTCCACACACCAACGACACCAACGACACCAACAGCACACTCAACCCTGCAACCACGCCCACACCGCCAACAACAGGGGCATCATCACTTCTTCTCAGCGTCTGCGGTGGCGGTGGTGGGGACGGCACCGTTGGCCTCCCCGACGACCGGGTCGACGAGGACGGGGAACGCGCGCCAGATGTCCTTTGTGTACTGCGCAATGGTGCGGTCCGACGAGAAAAACCCGCCGTTGGCCACGTTGATGATGCACTTCTTCGCCCACGACACAGAGTCCTGGAAGTCGCGCCCAAGTTGATCTTGCACCTGTATCAGGTGGGTGGCAGTTAACCAGTGATAATGGCAATGGTGGTGTTGGGCGGTGGTGGCAGTGGTGGGCGGTGGTGGTGGTGGTGAATATGTTAGTCGAGATGTGTTCGTCGAGATGGTGGTGGTGGTCAAGGTGAGGCAGCAGGAAACACGGAACACCGATCACGAAGCACAAAGCACTTGGCAGCGTTTGATCGTCTTGTGGTGGGGGGTAACAGAGCGCATTGGAAGGAGGCGTGCAGGGCAGCACATGGTATCATCATCATCATCATCATCATCATCATCATTATCGCAGGGACATGGATATGCCACGTACGCGCATGTAGTCCTCGTAGTCCTTGAGGAGGCAGAAGCGGTCGCCGTGCTTCATCAGCGTGTCCAGCAGGTCGTGGAACCTCAAAACGCAGCACAGTGCAGGAGAGTAGACACAGTGAACACGGTGCTGGAGTGTGTGCAGTGCACAACGCGCCTTGCTGACGGTGTAAGCAATCATACAAACACGAATTCACACTGAAACCACAGAAAGGGGGGGGGAGAGAGAGAGAGAGAGAGAGAGAGAGAGAGAGAGAGAGAGAG